ATTTTGTCACAACTGACTCATGTTGTTCTGGGCAATATTGAACAGATGCCTTTGAACTCCACGTATGTGTCACTACACAGATTGAACATGGGACACTCACAACACTGTTACATGGAAAGAAAAAATGTGTTTTCCTAAGAGCAAATGTTACAGTTTGAATGCCAAGGAAAGTACGATTTCTTCACTACAGAAATCATTGGTTCTTCTGTCCAATGGATGTTACTCTGACAGATGGAGGAAAAGTTGTGAATTGTGATTCAGCTCTCCTCAGTGCTGCCACCCCCCCAGTCTACATAGCTTTATGCTTGCAGAGGCTCTTTGACTCCCATGAGTGGCTTTGGCAGGAAGCGTCTAGAAGAAGAAGAAGGTAGGAAGCAGAACATCTGTAGGATACAGGATACTGTCTTGAAACTTGTTGGAGGGAAAATATTTGAATAAATATGAATAAAAGCACAATTTTGCACTAAAATTAGAGTTTGGAAGAATGTGAAAGATCTGAATGAATCCCCTGGGTAACCCTTTAGTCAGTGTGTATGTAATCTGGGCCCTAACCTGAACAGCCTGGGCTAGCCCAATCTCATCAGATCTCAGAAGCTAAGCAGGGCCGGCCCTGGCTACTATTTAGATGTGAGACCACCAAGGAATACCAGGGTTGTGACGCAACGGCAAGCAACGGCAAAACACCTCTTGCCATGAAAACCCTACAGGGTTGCCATAAATCTGCTGTGACTTGATGGCTACAACAACAAATGTAATCTTATAGAGTTGCCAACTCCACATTGGGAAATTCCTGGGGATTTTAGTTTGCAGCTTGGGGAAGAGAGAGACCTCAGTGGGGTATGATGCCATAGATTCCACCCTTCAAAGCAGCCATTTTATCCAGGAGACCTGATCTCTGAAGCCTGGAGTACAGTTGTAATTCTGGGAGATCTCTAGGCCCTGTATGGAGGTTGGCGACCCTAAATCATCAGCATATACTTCATCCATCCTTTCGTTCATATGGTCTGTGAATGTCAAGAAGCTGGGAGTTATCTTTTTATACCCCTGCAAATACAAGAATAAAGGTGCAATCCTATTGTACAGTTGTACTGTAAGACTTGAACTTCAAAATGCTATAAATTGGGGTTCAGTTGAACACCCAACATAATGACATTTGTGCAATTTCTTCAAAGCTGAAGAATGTTCAGATTCAGACTGCATCCCAAAACATGTCTTTGTCCCACCTTGCAAAAATTCATTTGTGTAATTCTCTAGGTATGGCAGTCACCATTGTCTTAAATGGCTTTAAAATGGTGTAGATAAATGTCAGGACTGCCAAGTGGTTAAGACGCTGAACTGCAGGCTGTGGAAGGTCAGTAGTTCAGCAGTTCAAGACCCGAGTGTGCCGCATGACGGAGTGAGCTCCCGTCTCTGGCCCCAGCTCCTGCCAACCTAGCAGTTCGAAAGCAAGAAATTGCAAGTAGATCAATAGGTACCACTTCAGTGGGAAGGTAACAGCGTTCCGTGCGCCTTGGTGTTTAGTCATGCTGGCCACATGACCACGGAAACGTCTTGCCTTTGTCACACCTTTCATTTGTGTAATTCTCTAGGTATGGCAGTCACCATTGTCTTAAATGGCTTTAAAATGGTGTAGATAAATGTCAGTACAGCCTTTATCAGAGTTATGCCCTTCTAAGCCAATTGACTTCTGTGTAACTGTGCTATGGAGGTTACTATCTATCCATAGTTGCTAAATGGGACCTCCGTGTTCAGAGACAGCATCTGAATACCAGAAAATATGGGGCTAGCAGTGGAGGAACGCTGCTGTCTTCGTGCTTTAGTTGTAAGCTTGAAGAGTCATCTTGCTCACCAACACTAGAAACAGAATCCTGGACTAAATGAATCTTGAGTTGAGCCAATAAAGCAATCCCCGTGTTCTTATGACTGCATTAAAGAACACAGTTCACATTAAGCCATGTAGGTACCGCTAGATCAAGGCAAACGTATGGCTCAGATGCTCAACATTCTCAAAACTGTTGCCCTTGTTCACATCTTTTCTAATTTAATCAAGGACATCATCTCCTAAAATGTTTTGTATAGTCTTCGGAGTGCCTAGAATTTTTAATTCAAGAGGTGACAACTTTGAGAAGCCTTTCAGTAGATCAAATGATGGAACAGATATTCCACAGAGCATTGCTTTATTGTTTCATTTTGTTGTCAGTTGCATACCATAACATGTTTTACAGACCTACAGATCTTAATTAACTCTGGCAGTCACCTGTGATGCATAGAAATTAGGGATATCATACTAATATATTTTAGCAACCAAGAACTAAATTCTGTTTCATTTTGTAGGTGGCCAAATAACAGCCACTGCATCTGATTCGTTTCCCTCAGGGGAAAACTTCAGTGCAATGATTAGTCTGAAATCTGTATACAGATAATCACTAGTGACAATCACACAAACACATTTCATGAGCAGACACATGTGGGAAGCTATCACTGGTTACAGCAAAAAAATACTATTATCACAGACATATTTTATGCTGTTTCCTAAATGGAAGAATTCTCTTTGCAGGATACATGTACTTGTGTGAACATCCCCCAAGATGTACCAACATCCACACTCTAGCCACACACACACTATCAGGTTGTTTCTTTGTTACCATATTTACCCAAATGCAAGACTAGTTTTTTTCACAGGTATGCCAGCACACACACACACCCCAATGGAGCCATCTTACATTCACATACAAGTTACAGTTATATCTAATAATAATTTTTGAGTGTGAATAACATTTTAAGGGGGTCATCTTACATTCAGGGTTGTCTTCCTTTTGAGTAAATATGGTAATATTGGTTGCAACCAACTCTTTCTATAACATAATTTCATAGATACCTTCAGCAACCTGCTAACCAGATAGTGGTAGTTCCTGTTGTTTTTTGTAGGTCTGACCTCATTGTGTTAGGAGGATGGGGATTCCCAACCTTCTTTATGTTGCAGGTTGTTTTGGGATTTTGAGATACACTAATGAATACCAGTACAAAATGGCTGCTATAGAGCCAGGGTTAGGGTAATCACTGGCCAGTTTTCCAGTGGCAAAAATGTATTTCCCCCAGTCTGGCCAATTCTCAGATGAGGGGCTTTTTTAAATAGGAAGGAGGCTAGTTTTTCAGATTTGTGTGTTTGTTTTGCAGGTATGCAAGGGTGAAAAAAAGATTGGTAGTAGAAGAATAGAAGAAAAGTAGGTTTTTATACCCTGCTTTTCTCTACCCTAAGGAGTCAAAGCAGCTTACAATCGCCGTCCCTTCTCCTTCCCACAACAGGCACCTTGTGAAATAGGTGGGGCTAAGAAAGTTCTGAGAACTGTGACTGGCCCAAGATCACCCAGTTGGCTTCATGCAGATGAGTGGAGACTCAAACCCTGTTCTTCAGATTAGTCCCTGCCACTCTTAATCACACCACCACACGGGCTCAAAATGCACAATGCTTGCTTGCATGCTCAAAATTTCAAAGGGAGGAAACAAAGATGGCTGCTCTTATTGCCCAGCTGGTCTGTTGATTTTTGGTCTTAATGGGGGGCCTACTGGCCCATGTAGTGAATAGGGCTGACTCTGAGTTACAAGGGTTATCAGCATGCAGGAGAATGAAGCAAGAGTTAACAGAAAAGAAGCCACATCACACTGCTGTGCTCATTCCAGCAAACCATTCACAGTGTTCCTGTCACCATATTTGGTTCCCATTACCCCAGCCCAGAGTGTTGCCCCTGCCTTACCTCTCTTTCCTTATGACTGCAGGAACTGGTGTAACATTAACCTAGCCAACAAAGGGCAGAAGACCAGGAGCAGCAAGAGCATTCAGAAATTCAGGGGGGGAAGTGTATTACAGAGGGAGAAAGGCATGAAGGGGGGTATGTGTCAATGAAGAACATTTTCGAAAGGTTTAATTCTTTACCATGGGTGTATACCATGGTATGAGTTGGCTCACTCTCCTGAGTGACCTGCTTTGCACTCATTTGGAGGGCTCTACCATGTAATTACAGACCATCAATGGGACCAAAGAGCCTCTGTGTCTACCTTCTTTAAAATGAGTAAGTTATTTTGCATAGTGGTTTCAAAGTTCTATGTCTTTTAATAATACAGTATAATGCCTCTATAGTTCACTGTGTAGGTTGCATTCCATTGCTTGAGTTGTACACTTTCAGGTTTTGCATTGTGTTTGAATGGACACAGTGGAATTTAGACTGTGTCTTTAGTGGCCTGGTAATCCATACAGATACTTTGCTATATGGAAGAAGATTATTAAACTCCTGGAATGGCTACGTACCTTAGCTGAACAGAGTATTTTATGTCTTCTTACCACCTGACTCCAGTCCCTAACCCTTGATAGATGGGTTCTCCCCTAGTGCAAGGGTGGTCCAGATCCTATCCTCTAGGTCCAATGGAGTGGCTCCACCCTTTGACTTCTTGACTGGCTTTGCTTCTTGAACCCTCTGGCCTGCACCTGGGTACCAGATTTCTGCCATTCAGGAGTTTGCACCCCTATCTGGTGGTTGTTTGAAACTGAATCTTTAAATTAGTCTTCATGGTCTAGCATAAATGTGAATCATATTCACATTTTATATTCTCACAATGTTATTAATGTGAACAGTTTTATCTGGCAATAAAATAATCTGTACACTGATTAGTAAAATATGCACTTTCCACATCATTTTATTTTCCTCATAGGCAATCCTTGTCATGAAACAACTTTCTAAGAATCAAATATTAAAAGTAAACCCAAAGGCCAAATAAAATGTTAAATAGGTGCCCCTTTGTTTGAACAACTATTAAGAGTAGGTGCTATGTTCATGCTACTTTAGCCTATAAAGAGACTGAAACTAAATTTGAATATAGTGTAAAACAGGTCTTTACCCATTATCATCAGTGGCCTTTTTTCCTCCCATTTAAAATGTTACCATTTAGAGTGCACAAGTAATTTATTTAAATAAATGTATGTACAAGAATAATGAAGGAAAAACTCTACAGAATTCAGGACGATGGCTGCATGCACTGGGAGCTGAATCTCTGACCGGTCTTCTATCAGTGAGTGATGGACTGAAAACTAGGGAAAAAAGACTGAAGATAGATGGTGGTTCCCATCACCACATCGCAGGATCTTCAAATCTGTAATGAATTATGAAGGGGGAGAAAAAGGTCCTGATGGTGAATGAGAGAATCAAAAGATTTTAAGCTACTTTATATGTTAGGGGTCCCCAACGTGGTGCCCATGGGTGCCCATGGCCTCCACTGACACCTTTTCTGGTACCCGCCAAGTGTTTTTAGAATGTGGGCACAGCCAGGCTGTGCTTTTGTTCACCAAGGCTTCTGACTGGCCATTGGAGAATTGGCTGTGCAAATTTTTTAAAATGTTGCTTTGGCAGCAGTTGCCACCAGTACACAAGAATCTTCACTGTGTGGCGAAAAGTAAGCTGAAGCAGCCATTTTGTGGCTGGCTCTGCCTCCTATGGCCAGCCATTTTGTGGCAGCCATTTTGTGCCTGCACCCAACACACTGTGCCAGAACCACAAAGGCGCCCATGAGCTCAAAAAGGTTGGGAACTCCTGCTACATGTTCTCATGACAACAAAATGAAATTTATTAGACACTAAAGAATAATTTTCATGTTGGGCATGAAGCCTGCATTATCTAGTTTCTTGAAAATCCATAGCAATCATAAAACAAGACTTAGAGTGAACTCACACCATTTTATTCTCATAAAACTGCTTCATAGTTTACCTGAGCATGTAATTCTACATATGGTGATACATGGGAACAATGTATGCCCTCTACATTAAATGCATCATATATGGCCTGTACACATCATATATGTACAGAATACATATAAACTGATACCCACAGGCTTGGATCTAGACAACTTTTCTGCAGGTGCAAGAAGTTCCAACTACAGAGTGCAATTCCACCTTCTGCTCCCTGTAATCCTATCCCCAGGGTTTTATCTCCCATGGAAAAAGGAGTTGGGAGGGCATTTTGGGCTGCTATTGGAAAGGGGAGATGGAAAAATCATGCTCTAAAGGTAAAAGTGGAAAACATTAGTCTGAAACCAACCAATATATTTGGGTTATATGTGTGAGTCTACACATAGAGTATCATGCGTGAGATTCAAGCTGAAGTGAATAGGGAGACTCTAAACAGTCTGGAATGAGGGTATCTGAAGGACAATCTTTGCCGACATGAATCTTCCAATTACTTGAAGTGATCTTGGGAATCCCTTCTTTGGTGCCTCATCTTTGGAGATTAGTTGGCTATCTACTGGAGAGCGAGGGCCTTTTCTGGAGTACGGATGGGCACAAACCAAACCATGATTAATTTTACCCTGTTCATGGTTCAGGAACCAAAGCCTGTGACAGGTCCATGGTCATGGACTTCCATAACCTTTTAAGGAAGTTTTGGGGGGTTGTGCTGGTTCCTGGCCAAAGCAGAAAGCAGGGATTTAAAGGGACTCAGAGCCCCTTTAAAATCATGCTTTCTGCTCCTTGCCAATATCCAGGTGCAAGGAGAAATCTCCTGTCCTGTCTATTTGACTTTTGGGTAATTAACCCCCCCCCCCATGTCCCTCGTTCTCTGGGAGAGAGTTAATAGTTTGTGGCCACCTGGTTTTTCTTTTTAAAAATTCTGCTGCTTCTATGAGTTTATATTGCTGTTTTATTAATGATTCTGATTTGTTTCCTGTGAGCTTTTTCTTGAACACCCATTTGGGCATAAAGGTGGCATTCGGCTTTTAAAAGTACAATGTAATAAATAAGTGCCAGAGCACTACATGCTTGAAGTTATCATGGGTGTGGGGCATCAAAGTTTATGTGCTGACAACTCCAAAGGAATGCATAACAAAATGAGAAAGTATTTCTGTAATACTGTATTCTGCTGAGTTGCCTGTTAAGTTCCATTGAGTTGCTGTCCTTGAGAAAAGAGATCACACTAAGGAGCTCTTTGTCTCAATACCCACGAAAATAATCTACAAATATGGGGGGGGGTCACTTTAGTTGACTCTAAGCATTGCTTTGAATGTTGGTGAACTGGAAATGGGGATTGTTATTTTGCAAGCAGTGAGAGCCACTGCAGAAGGATGTTAAACTAATGGCTAGCATTTGTTACATTTATCTTAGGAAAGAGACGTTTTAATCTTTCACTAAGCAATAAAGCAGCCATTTACCACCATCAGCCTTTGACTCTTATCTCCAACTCCCACTCTGATTCAAAACATTTTAAGACTCTGGACTCAGAGAGAGCACAGCTGCCCGGCTCACTGGACTTAATTTGTGCCAAGGCTCACCCAGAGGGCTTGCCCTTGTAAGATACGTCAATGTCAGAGATCAGTTCTGGAATATATAAGCAGGAGGAGAGAAGAGATTCCTTAGCTGGATATATTTCTCCCACTCTTTGAGTAACAAAGATCTGGTTCACACAACAAACAAGATGGAAAAACTGGTCCTGAAGTATACATAGGGTTGCCAGCCTCCTGGTGAGGCCTGGAGATCTCCCAGAATAACACCTGATCTCCAGATGACAGAGACCCATTCCCCTGGAGAAAATGGCTGCTTTGGAGGCTGGACCGTATGGCATTATACCCTGCTCAGGTCCCTCCCTTCCCAAAACTGCACCTTCCTCAGGCTCCACCCCCAGATCTCTAGGACTGTCCCAACCTGTCCCGTAGCTAACATGGGGCCCATGGGGCCTGGCCCCCTAGTGTTTCTTCTGGGGCCCCTCCCTCTTGGTCTGCCCTCAAAGTGCTCCAACTTACCATCTGCACTGTTCTTTCATTTAATTAGCTGGCAGGCGCCCCGAGACCCCCCCAAAAAAATTTCCCAAGCTACGGGGCTGGTCCCAACCCAGAGCTGGCAATCCTAATTATGCCACTTTAGACTGCAGGAGGGGAACTGCATGAGTGAAGGTTCCCCTGCAGAAAATGTCAGGGAGTTGCCAACTCAGGGTTGAGAAATTCCTGAAATTCCTGGAGATTTTGTGGGTGAAACCTGGAGAGAGCAGAATGTCTACAAGATTTTTTTTTTCTGGGAATGTAGAAAGGTATAGCAGGAAGGGGAGGCAGGAAAGACCCACTCCATAAACAAAGTTCTTTTACGGTCCTTTGGATTCACTTGCCTGCCTTGATTTTAAAAAGGTCTGTGGCATTTTAAATTTGTGATGGAAAGGGACAGGAAGAAGTTTGGCCTTGATCTAAACTACAGAAGGAATCTAGCTCAATGCAAGTATTTATAAATCAAATAAGTTTAACAAGAGGATTGCTGAGCACATGTCAAGGTCTACGACTCTGAAATGAACAAAAAACCTTAAAACATGTTTAATTGTAGCAATAGCTGACCCAGTATTTATTCACCTAAAATTGTGTTTTTAAAAAGACTTTGTAGTAATTAGCAGAAACCCTTTATTACAGTTCATATAAGTGCAATACCGTTACAAAGCAGAAATTATAGTATCTATGTAAGCTCACTAGTCATTTTGCAGTAGTTCTTTTGTTTACTTTGATATATTAAGTTCTAAAAGTCACCAAAATGCAGTACAGAAATTAGCTTTCATACCAAAAATCCAGACTGGGATGTGATGTTTATTTAAAATATACATATACTGCATCTCCACTGAAGAGTTTGAGGCAGCTAACATTTCCCAAAAATAAGGTTTAAATTTTATTTTAAAAGAAACAATGAAAATGGTTAGTTTAGATAAAATGTATTCCCCTAAAGTTTATGTCCATGCAAGGGGAGGCAATTTTTGCCAGTTCCCTTTCCAGCAGCAGAGCTCAGATTCTCCCCCCAAGCTATTCTTGTGGGGTCCCCATCAGGAGCAGCATTTCGGGGGGCATTTCGGGCTGCAGCAGGAGGGTGGATGCATGTAGGAAAGTCATGCTTTCGCAGACAGAAATCCTTCCATCCACTGAAACTGGAGGCAAAATTCAAGCTATATTAATGAAAAGTATGAACTTTAATATTTACCTAGATCTAGGAATATTTTCTGTGCTTTCCCGCAATAAGAGATCCGAAATCAGTGTCTCCGGGCTCGATCGTTTTCCATACCTGTTAGATGAGTTTAAAAAAATAGTTTAAAACTGAGATTAAGTCTCATCTTTTCATAAACAGAACAACTAAAGGCCAGCCAGCTAAATGCTTTATAAAGTATTTATCCAGCACTCACTCAAAGTATATGTTCAGTTTTTATGTAAGTTCAGTCTGATGTTCAGTTTAAACCTCTTGAATGTAGGATCTGCACTAATAACTAGTCATTCATGGCATGGAAAGGACATGAGATTAAAGTTTTTTCTAGGCCAAGAGAAATCATGCTTGGGCCTTGTTAACAGCCATAGAAGAGTTAGAAGTCAATTGAGTTATCAGTACACAAGGAAAGATTCATTAATTAAAGTTATTAGTATTAATGATATATAGCATGAATAATAAGCAAAAATTTACCCAGCCTCACATCAACTCCGAAGTTCCTTTTTTACTGATAGGGGACAGAGATACAACTTAAGAATCCCAATTTTCTAAAATTCTAAAATTGAAGTACTTGAGGAGGAAAATACAAGTTATTACAATTCAAGTTATTAAAAGTGTTCAAGAATCTCCCTACATAGTATAAGAACAGCCCTCCTGGGTCAGACCAGTAGTCCAGCTCATCTAGCATCCTGTCTCACACAGTGGCCAACCAGTCACTATGGAGGGTCAACACAGTGAATAGAGGTTGAGGCCTTCTCCGAATGTTGCCTCCATTGGTATTCAGAGGCAGTAAAAAGCAGAGGTTCCCTTTCGCCACCATGGCTAGTAGCCATTGATGAATGTATCCTCCATGAAGCAGAAGACTAAATTTCCATCAAGTTTATTCTAGGAACTGTCCAAGTGTCTAACTTGAAACATCTCCATGGGATACCAACCAGAAGATAATGGGAAGCTAATAAACCCTGAGTGTAAGTGCTAAACATCTATTTCTCTTCCGCAGCTAATCATCATGAACAAGGGTGATACATTTGTAAGTCAGAGTTGCCAGTGGTCACGGATGCAAATGTCCTCCATGATTCTTTCTTACCATTTAACATACTTACAACCACTAGCATAAATTTCTAATCAGCAAAGCTAATTTTTTAAAATATAGTTTTTATATTGTGATATAAATTACAATATGCCCAGGAAAGAGAGGGGAAAGCGTATCACGTTCAGCTAATCCGATTATATTTCAGTAATTCATCTCCATCTCAGAAAGACAAAGTATCAGTTTCAAGTGAGGAAGTTGAAGACAACCAGATACACAATGAAATCCCCCCCCCACAGAGTGATTTAATGAAGCATGACGCTGATCTCAAATGTTCTAGCGGTGCGATCACAGATTTGTTTCTGCTTCCTTCCCTCCATGTATTGTGAGTTAATATCCTTAAAGAAAATGCCTGGGATTTGTATATTAGTTTACCAAATTAAAACTCTGATCCTGCAGTTCATTATAAGGCAAAATCCTTGCTGAAGTCAATTAATAGTGTAAGCCTGTACTGGGGAGAAAACAGTTTTGGGCCTAGATCTGATTAGTAGACTGATAGACCTTAGGCCTAGGGCTGCCAAGTGGGGGCGGGTGGCGGGTAAACCCCCACTTTGGAGGCCCAATTTCCGCCGCCGAGGAATCAGGCCCCGGGGGGAACTTCGCCCCCCCCCAAAAGCGCAGCGTGGCTGCATCATCAGAGGTGATGCAACCACGTCAATTATGTTCGGGGCATGGCCCCAATCGTCGGATGAGCGGGGTCATGCCTTCAACGTGATCGACGTCACGCGACGGCTCCCGGAGCCCGGCAAGGCTCCCCCGCCGGTAAGAAGATTTGACTTGGCAACCCTACTTAGGCCAGACCGGACTAGCACCTATATAGTGTGTATATAAAGGTAAAGGTTCCCTTGCTCGAAAGCCAGTCGAGTTCGACTCTAGGGTTGCGGTGCTCATCTCCGTTTCAAAGCCGAAGAGCCAGTGCTGTCCGAAGACATTTCCACGGTCATGTGGCCGGCATGACTAAACACCAAGATGCACGGAACACTGTTACCTTCCCACCGAAGTGGTACCTATTAATCTACTTGCAATTTCTTGCTTTCGAACTGTTAGGTTGGCAGGAGCTGGAACTAGAGACGGGAGCTCACTCCGTCATGTGGCAACTCGGGTCCCGAACTGCTGAACTACTGACCTTCCACAGCCTGCAGTTCAGCGTCTTAACCACTTGAGCCACCGCAGCTCCTTAGTGTGTATATAGGCTTGTGTTAATTTGCATGTTTGGCAAAGGCTCATGGGACATGCTTTTGAAAGAGCCACCATGACACTAAGAGGTGGTATAAAGCAGGACTGGGCTAGCTGAAAGGACAACAAGGATAGAATGGTTGAGAAGCACTGACGGTAGGGCTCTCTGAGGAGCAAAGCTTGTTTTACAAGCTTTGGTTCCAAAAAGGACAGAGAAGATGGAGCTGAAATTGCTAGGTGGGAAGAACTGAACAATCTGCTCTGGGAGACCTGCAGTAGCTGTGAAGATCAGGAATTGCTGACAGCTGAACTCTTCATTGACTGCACTGAAATTAGCACTATAGCACAGAGCTGCCCCACTTCATCTTGCCAGGAGGGGAACTGCTCCTAGGGCAATGAACAAGCTTGAAGACTTACCCTGCATCTTCCCAGGAAGAGTTCCTGCTATTGCAAGAAGGCCTTCTTGGCATCTGGGACTCTGCTCCAGGCTTAGCCCCAGGAAGAGCACACAGTGCTGTCTGTGCCTTCCACAAAGGGGATTGTGAATAGGACTCTGCTCTGAGACAATGGTTGTTGAACCAATATTGATATCTTTGGGATTGTTTTTCTCAGTTGCTTTCTGTTGTATCTAAATAAATTGGATTTACATATTGAGTTTATGAACATTACCCTAGACTTTGAACCTGGCCCTTGGGACTCAAGGGGTTACAACAGTACTTCTGGATGCTGTCTCTTATAATAAAGATGAGCCTCAGCTGCACTAAGTATAATGGAATTCCAGCAAAATTGCTACTGACTCATGTTTCATTGCCATAAACCAGAGCTCCATTTTTTTAAAAAAACAACAACCAGCTCTAACACCATGAGACTGAGCTTCTTTGTTAGTCCGTGAGCCTTGCTTTAAAGAATTTCTCAGTCAAAATTCATCTTTTTAACGGATGAAGATTAAATTTTCCTACATTTGTTAGTCTTGTTCTGTAAACCTGAATTAATAGCTTTTGTTACGATGCATTTGATCTCTGGCTATTACTCAGTGGAAAACAGTTAAAGTGAGAAAGGACTGCTGTGGTCATCTTACGTGTAATAATTGCAGTCATCAGATGATATCCTGGGGGTCCGAAAGCTTTTATTGCAAAGCGACTTACCATAAGATGCTGTCCTCATTTCCAAAAAGCAGAAAGTCTCATGCAATGTGATTATCACTGTGTGAATTGATTCTTAGCAGGACTCCTTTGTGTGTACATCCTGAATAAGGTTTAAAAAAAACTTGTGTGCTTCTTTTGACCTATAGCCAAGATATAAGGGACGCAGAATATACGGTAGGAAGGCAGGGCTTTTTTTGTAGAAAAAGCCCAGCAGGAACACATTAGCATAACAGGCCACACCCAGCAGCAGAAACTCATTAGCATATTAGGCCACACCCCTGATAGCACAGCTCATTAACATATTAGGTCACACCTCATGCCTTCCCTTGGCTTGCCTGGGCGTCCCGCAGCTGCCAGGGAAGGCACAGGGAGGCATTTAAATGCCTCCCCAATCCTTCCAGGGCCTCCCCTGGCCTGTCCACCTCAGAGTCGCTGGGGGGAGGTCGCTCTCCAGGTCTTCCCTCTGTAGCCACACATGCAGAGGCTTTGGCTGTAGTGGGCATGGCCAACTCTGAAGCCAGTCAGAACTCCATTCCTGTGCGTTCCTGTCCAAAAATAGCCCTGGGAAGGAGTGACCAATAAGCAAATTGGGGGGGGAGGGTGTGGCTGTCAGTGCAATCCTGTGTATAGTTGCACCCTTCTAAGCCTATTGACTTAGAAGAGTATAACTCTTCTTAGGACAGCACTATAACAGAGCCAGAAATGTGGCAATTCCTATCACTGAATGTCACAGTACAATGTACCAACAAAATAGAATATTTCAGTTCAAAGTTTATTTTGATACAATATCAGTAATAATAAGGATAAAGATAAAAATAAAAAATAAAATAAGGGACAGTGCAATGGTCTTGAGACAATGAGCGCTGTTTGTGAGGGAATGGAGAGATGGTGCCTTCCTCCAACAGGGAGGTTGTTACTAAGACTCGGTCAGCCGCTTGCGTATCCCACACACTTCTTGGTCTTTTGGCTAAGATCGAGTGTAGAAAATAGAATATGCTGCAGAGAAACTACTTCTGCCCTGTCCATGACTCCATATGAGCCTCACCAGTAACATTAGACATCACTGACAACCACTCCTGTACCTGCCCATGCTTCTCTCAGGCAACTCTGAGACCTGTTAAGGTAGGAAGTGTGAGGAGGAGAACAGGACCACGGGCTGGACAGACAGCAAAACTGTCTGAAATGTAAAAGTCCTTCTCTGTACTATTTGAACAAGTCTGAACATTGTGTTTCTTTGGGACCAAAATGAACACTACTCCTGCAACAGCGGATAAGGTATGTTCTTTTATAAGAATGTTTTGATGGACGTAAAGCTCTTTCTCATTGTGTCACCTGGCTAAATAGCAAACAAATTCCTGAATGGAGCCATAAAATCCTTTCAACAGTTTACTCACACTAGAGCACTCTAGGAATGCCTACAGCAAGAAAATTAAATCACTGTTTACGTGGGGGAAAGTAGGTAGCCATGTTGGTCCACAACAAAATCCAAAAATAAAAGTCATGTCATACCTTTTATTATTTATTAAAGCTTGTGCCTTTTAAAACACCTGTTCTGATGAAAAGTTCCAGAAAACTTAGAAACTTGCACACTCTGTTGTATTCTTTTGTTTGATGTACGTGATGAATGTGAGTTGTATTACTGGTCCCAAACAGGACTTTTCCAGTTATTGCTC